TTTGGTTTTTTTGAGACAGAGTTTCACTATGCCTTGAAGTCACTGCAGTGATCCTCCTGCCTCAGCCTCCAAAGTGCTGAGATTATAACTGTGTGCCACCATACCCTCTTTAAAAGTTTCAATTTAACTAATTAAATCAATTTTAACCAATTGACCAATTTACCAAGCTTTTCCTTTATGACCTGCCCTTTTAGTGTCTATTTATTTATTTAAATTACTGGGGATTGAATTCATGGCCTTTGAACTGAACAACATTCCCAGTCCTTAGTGACTTGTTGCCCAGGCTCTGCTCAAATGCGCAGTCATCTGCCTTAGTCTCTCAGAGTGCCTGGATTACAGATGTGCACCACCACCCCTGGCTCTTTGTTTTTGTTTTTGTTTGTTCTGTTTTTCTGAGACAGGATCTCACTTAGTAGTTCAGGCTGGCCTCATACTCATGGTGATCCTTATGCCTCAGCCTCCCAAGTGCTGGAAATACAGGCATGTGCCACAGGCCCAGATTTTTGTGTCATTTTTAAAGAAATTTTTGCCAACATAGTCTAAGATCATGAAGATTCATTCCCATATTAACTTCTGGAAGTTCGTTTTACCTTTCACAGTTATCAAATCAACCAGACACAGATTTTGAAGTATGGTATTAAGCAGGGCTAATTTTTCCATATATAACTACTTGAAATACCAACTTTGATTAAAAATATACTCTTGTCAGGCACAGTGGTGTACACCAGTAATCCCAGCTACTCAGGAAGCTGAGTGGCAGCATCACAAATTTAAGACTAGCATGAGTAACTCCGCAAGACCCTGTCTGACAATAAAAAAGCAAAAAGGGCTAGAAGTATAACTTAGGGATCCCTGTGTTCACTACCCAACACTAAAAAAACAAAACAAAGAAATGATCTCCCTGAAGTTCCAACTTTCACATGAGTCAAATGAACAAACATTTGTGTCTGGATTCTCCATTAGTTTCCACTGGCTTATCTGTCAGTTCCAACACCACTATTACACTGTTTGAATTCCTGTTCCAACTTTATTCTTCCTCTCCAAAACTATCTCAACTATTTTTAGCCCTTTTATTTCCATATAAATTTATAAATCAGTTTGTCAATGTCCACACGCAGGAAAAAGCCTGCTGAGACTTTGATCAGGCTGGCACTATCTATACAATTCAGGGAGACATGATATCTTTAAAGCAAAAATGTCCTAATCTACATATGTGAAATGTTTCTGTATTTCATTTCTTAATTTCTCTCAAGACCATTCTAGCATTTTCTCTGTAAAGGTCTCCACTTATCCCTGTACTATTATCGCTAAATATTTCTTCGTGTTATTGGAAATTGACTTTTTCTTTTTAAGTTTCAGTTTTTAGTTTTTGCCTCATTGATATAACTTCTTTAAAAAGTTCTCCAGGTGATTTAATGTTCAGCCAGGATGGAGAATTCCAGCCATAATGATGAATAAGGGAAGAATAAATATAATTTCCCCTTTTCTTATCTTTAACCTAACCTCTGTGTGACAATTTTTTGGTAGCGTTACCTTGCAGCCCAACAGCTATTTCACAATTTTGATAGAAGATTGCATTTTTGCTAAACTACTTGTGGTTTCATGCCAGGCTGTGCAGGGCTTTGTCATACTTGATATTCTAGTGCCTTGCACAGTACCCATCACCTATGCGGCACACAATAAACGTTTGTCGAATGATGATTGAACTGTGTGACCCCAGGCAAGTAATTTATTTTCTCTGAGCTTCAGTTTTCTTACAGTGGAATCAAGTAACTGTGCTACATCAATCAGATGGCTGCTGAAACAAATTTTCAAAAGACGGGAAAATTGTTTTTAAGCTGTCCAGTGCTATGCAATAAAGTTCCATTAACAACCATCAATTTACCAATGCTTCAAAGACTCATCTCCTTAGGTTAAAAGAAAAAATAAAAAAGCCACCCATTCTCAGATTGGCCCTGCAAATAAACTACTGGGAAGAGGCTAACACATCCAGGCCATTCACAGAAATGCCTAGCATGTCATAAACATCAAGTTGAAAAGGAGACTTCCACAGGGTAACAGTGAAAGACACTGAAAATCAAAACAGCTTTTACAGCGCAGTCTGATAGAAACTGCATTTAACTTCTACACATAAAAACAGACTTGGTAAAAGAAGACACATACTCAAAACACATCTTGCAGAAGTTAACAAGAACTTAACTTCACCTCTAAGCCATCTGGAGAAGGATTCATCGGAAGCATTTTATGAGGCATAAATTAGATCTTATGACTTAGGGCATGGGAAGTAAAAGCGACAGCATATCAAATGACATTGCAAAGAGAATGGTGACACCAAGAGGGGGCACTCACCACACTGTCCTCCTGTAAAAGGGTCCTCTGCTTTTCTGCCAAAATGTGACTAGAAGGGGAATTTTCCTATTTATCATACTCATCTTCTATTCTTATCCAGTCACATTTTCCTTCCAATAATTCCATTCTAAAAAGAGGCACCCAATCCTAATCTTTTTCTTTCTTTTCCAATTAGATCCCAATCTGGCAGCCTTAAAACTTTCCAACTCAAAAAACAAAAAAAACAAAAAAAAAACAAACTTTGCAACTCTTCCATTTTATGAAAATCTACTTCATATGTCTCTCTACTCTGTGTGCTTCAACACAACAACCAAATTCTAGGAGAGATCTTTCCAGGCTCAGTCTTCATAATTCTCTCCAGATGGAAGATTAAAAACAAAAATGGTTCAGCTACTTGAGCTGGCTGGCATTCCCGCAGCCCCTCTCAAATTCTCATTATTATCTTCTCATGAATTTTCCTTCATCCTAAAAGTTCAATGGAAATAAACAGGCTCTCATTTTTTTTTCCCCTGTGCAGTACTGGGGATTGAACCCAGGGAGCACTGAGCTACATCTGTAGCTCTTTTTTGAAACAAGATCTCACTCAGCTAACCAGGGTGAGCTATAACTTGCAATCCTCCTACCTCAGCTTTCAAAGTAGCTGGGATTATAGCATGGATCACTGCCTGTTTCTCACGTACTTTTAAAGAAGGCAATGACTTGCAATTAATGCCACAAGTGGCCTTCTGCCCTACTTAAAGCACAAATATTTAAGAGCCCAAATGATATTCCGCTCAACTCCAAAATTAGATGACTCCACATAATTTACTGGATATGAACCTAAAACAATGAAAGATGATAAGGGTGACAGAAAAATGGGACTCCAAGAAAAAGAATAACTATTTTAAAGTATAGATCATCACCCATGTCCAGTGATAAGAGGCTGCACCTTCCTCAGACATTCTGGAACTCAATCCGTCACCTTCCAAGGTTCATTTAAGTATCTGAGTCACCAGTCAAGTTGTGAGAGTCAACTTACGCTGTTAAAGATGAATAAATCCTTCTAAATTATACCAGTTGCTCACTTCCTTCAGTTTGTATTCTTCTCAGAACCCTCAATAACCTCATGACCATTTTACAAGTGGATAACGCAAGTCTTGAACTGTGTCTTCATTTCTATACTGATTTTTATCTGAAAGATGTAGAGAATATCTACTTTTATGATCACTTCTCAGTAAAGTTCCCACATACCGTCTCTCTCCTGCACAGAAAAACACTAATGCAAGGCAAAAATAATTTTTTAATTGCCAAGGAAATATGGAAATATAAGTGCTCAATTTAAAGAAGTGAGAAAAAGTGCCTGAAAAAATATGAATGTCTCAAGTTAATACTTTTATTTCTCAACTTTTGTGTAGAAAAAAAGTCTAGGTATTACATACTTAAAGCGACAAACTAAAAATAAAAGATCTGGATCCAGCACTCCTGACTCAAGGGCTAGCCTGGATCAACCCCAAACTCAGTCTTCAACTTCCAACACTGTTAAAATACATGTTTTCTCTTCTACCTTCTTCAGAAGGCTATTTGGAGGGATGAGGATTCACTAAAGGATGAAACAGAAAGCACCATGCTATGCTACACGGTCTCATTAACAGGCAGCTTTGCTGCAGCAGAAAGGGATCATGAAATTCGCAGCACCACTTGGATTCAAACCCTACCTGTGCACCTCCTGGCTGCTCATTGTGTAAGGAGTGTTTCAGGCCTCAGTTTTATCCTCTGCCAAGTGAGAGGATGTTCATTGTCTCATGGAGTTGTGAGGATTAAAGAACAATGCACCCGGGAAGCCCTGGGAACATGCTGCATGTGGTGAATGTTAGTGGCCTATCATAAACCAGGTTTTTCTGTAAAAACATAACAACAACAATAACAATTGCCCTTTTCAGCTTTGGCTTTCATTCTACACAAAGATCCCGGGATTCTGTTTGCACAAAGGCTTTTCAGTGATAAGCATTAAGAAACAATCACATTGTTCAGAAAATATTGTTTCAGAACTGTAACTTGTCTCCCAAGCTCAACCCAAAACCCAGGATATGCTTAACTTCACGGAAAAGCACATGATTTCCAGCCTGGCACAACTTGGGCTTTTTACATTTCATGTTAATAAACCATGAGCTGTTACCAACAGTTCCCTTCCACCAAGCACATGACCCACAATCTGAAATCCCATTCTGAGTTATTTTTCCACTCGACCTCTGCAGAACATCGCCAACTTGAAAAGCACCTAGTTTTTCGCAGTCTAACAGCAGCTGGGAGAGACATCAGTTATCACAAAGCCGCAGTTCCTCGCCAGCTTCGCTGTCCCGAAGTGGAGGCGGCCCACTAGGGCGCAGGGGAGCGGTTCGAGGGTTCAATTAAAGCCACCAACATGGCTGCTTCCTGCGGTAGGTAATAATGTTACTTATACTCTTCCCGTTTCCCCAGCCTAAATTGACAGGAAGGCCTCCTTAGCAGCAGGAGTTTCCACCGCAAGACGGACTCCGGTGCACTCCTGCAGGTTGATTCTGAACTCACCGCTTCCCCGGTTAGGTACAAAGACCCCAGGCGGATTTGGACCCCTCACTTGCACAAAATGCAAAAGCCACTTTGGGGTGCAGGGGCCAAGGACCCCACCTTACCCTGGCTGGAGTTCCCGATCGTCTCAGCTCCGCCAGCCGCCACGCGACCCCAAGCCAGCAGGGCCAGGACCAGCAGCCGCGGGAGCCCCATTGCTGCCTGGCACAGAGGTCCCGCACAGAGGTCCGGGAGGTCCGCGGGCGAGCGCAGCGGGGCCCCACAGCCTCGCGCGCGCCGCCCCGGGGTCCCCGCCACGCCCCCGTCAGCCCCGCAGACTCCCGCTGCCGCCGGGCGCGAGGCTCGCTCTGCCGCGGTGCAGCTGGGACCGCGACGCCGCGCCCCTGCCCGGCCGCTGCGCGCGCCTCCGCGGGGCCCGGCGTCCTGGGCAGCGCGCGCCTCCTCCTGGAGGCCGGCGTGGCTGGATCTCGCGTCTCTCCAGCACTTTCAGGGCGCAGTCACTTTCTGCGGCGGACTAACGTCCCCGTTCCATGCCGAACCGCCCTTTACAAAGGAAAAGGTAAGAGGAATCCGGTGCCCCTTCCAAGCCACTGTTGCGTTTTGCGCAACAACGGGACAGCGCTTCCTCCCGGAGCAACTGTCCTCGCTGCTGAGGCTGACTTTAGGGCAAAACGCCCGGTAAGGCTGGTTCTGTAATCGGCCTTGCGCTGGTACTGGAGCACCACACTGAAAAACCAAGTTCCGCTTTCCCTGAGCGAAATACCCTCGAAAACGGACAACCTTAGCTTCAGTTTCCCCTGAAATCTCATACCCGGGTGCTGGCGAAGGGACATAAGATGTTTCTTGAGTTGATTTTGGAATTACATATACGGACTCGGTTATTTGGGGATGATTGTCCTGCTTTCTTCACCTGCTTTATTTAAATTGCCAGGTATATATTCTGAGTAACTTTTTTTTTTTTTTTTTGGAAAGCATATGTTCAATGTATCCACTGTCAGCTAATCACCTATAGCAATCACCATGATGTTTACAGGCATAACTATTTTCCAGTCATCCGCTGTCTTGTCCAAATGTGCACGTCTTGGTAGCAGTGTCTATTATCCTGTGGAGCTTTTTCACTCTCGCACACAGTAGATGAAATCCCTGGAAGACGCTGGAGCAATTATGACAAGGGTAGCGTTTGAATCAGTGGTTGGATTATTCAACTGATTGCATTCTAGTAACCAATGGGCTGAACTGGATTGGGCAGAGAGAATTGGAACTCTACGGCACACTTGCTGTCAAAGTAAAATCCCAAAGTAATACATACAACCATCAGAGAGCTAGAAAAACCATTGTAGGTTTTTAAAAACTTGATCTCGGAATGGGAGGAACGTCCTAAGCAAAAAGCAAAGGAAGGCCGATACAGTCAGTGGTGCACGTCTGTAATCCCACCTGCTCTGGAAATTAAGGCAAAAGGATCACAAGATCGAGGCTAGCCTGGCAAGTTAGACGCTGTCTCAAAATAAAAAGGGCTGGAGGGCAGCTTAGTGGTAGAATGCCAGTGTTTCCATTCCCAATACCTAAAAACAAAAACAAAAACAAAAACCTAACAACAACAACGGCAAAGGAAAAAAAAATGAAGAGAAAAATGGTATATCTGGATACATAAATATTTAAATTTTATGAAAGTTTTTAAAAACCACAAACAATATGAAAAGGTAAGGTAATAGCCAAAAAACAAAAATTAGCAGAGGACATGAATAGGAAATTTCGTGAAAAAAAGAGAAAGAAATATAAATGGTTAATAAATGCATGAAAAGGCCGGGGATTTAGCTCAGTGGTTTCGCTGCCTGCTGCGCAAGCGCAAGGACCCGAGTTCGATCCCCGGTACAAAAAAAAAAAAAAAAAAAAGCTAAAGATAAATGCATGAAAAAAGTTAAGTCTCATTAGTAGACAAAAAATAAATTAACAGACTAAGATCTAAATATTTCATCCACTATGGATGAAGTAGCTGAGAGGGCATTTTAACACAGAGGTAGTGGGAATGGAATCTGATGCAAATTTTCATAAAGTAAATCTCATCAAAAATCTTTTAAAATTGTATTTTCATAGCTTTAGTATTATAATTCCACTTTTAGATTTAAGTACGTAATTAGATATTCATATAAAATTAGTATAGAAAAGTTTTCATTGAGGTGTTCTTTATAATAGCGAAGCCAAGACAGCCTAAAATGGCCAACAATGAGGAATTAATTAAAAACCTATGATATATCCATGTAATAGAATCCCATGCAGCCTTCCATTTATGTTTTAGAAAGCAACTGATTGATCTTAAAGTGTTTACAAAAGGCAGCTTACAAAGCAATAAATATATGGAGAATGAGGCTTATTGTATTTTCATTTTAAATGAAAATTCATGGTTATGTGCACAGAAAGATTCATGAAATATGTTTATATGTATATATTTATTACATATATTCCAAAAATGTTTAAAATAGTTATCTCTAACTGGATTAAGATGGATTGGATTAAGAATGATTTTCTTTGCACATTTCTGTGTAAAAGTTCTATACTGATTTTCTATTGCTTTTGAATAAGAAACTATTTTAAAGATACATTTTTAAAAAGCTTTCTTATAAAAGTATTATCAACCTAAAATTTTAAAAGTGGGAGATTCTCCAAAGAATAATGATACTTATTTAGGAATAGCAGAGTGTTGTAATGGGAATATCTGTCCAATAACAAACTATGAGCATATTCAGAGTTGAGGCAAGAAGTTACTAAAACAAAAATGAGAAGGATTACAACAGATATTTTGCAACAGTAATCCTTGGTCCAATGATTAATAACAAGAATGGGATCAGGTGCCCGGCATGGTGGTGCATGCACTCTGAGCAACTGAGGCACAAGGACTGCAAATTCAAAGCCAGCCTGAACCATTTAGCAACTTAGTGAAGCTCTGTCCCGTCCCCCTTGAAAAAATATTTTTTATTTTTGTTTTTTTGGTTTATTTTTGGTACCAGAGATATCAAACTTGGGACCTTGTGCTTGTGAAGCAGGTGGCAGAACCACTGAGCTAAATCCCTGGCCTAAAAAAAATTTTTTAAAGGGTTAGGGATATAGTCCAGTGTGAATGCCCTGAGTTCAATCCTCAGCACCACACACATACACACAAAGAGTGGAGTCAGGGCTGGGCATGGTGGGGCATGCCTGGAATCCCAGCACTCTGGGAGGCTGAGTCAGGAGATAACAGTTGGAGCCCAGCATGGGCAACTCAGAGACTTAGCAAGATCTTGTCTCAAAATTAAAAAAAAATAAAAAATAGAAAGGGCTGAAACTTAGTCCAAAGGCCCTGGGATCAATCCCCAGTAACATGCACACGCGCGCGCATGCACACACACACACACACACACACACACTCATGGAGTGGTGTCAGTCCAAGGTTGAACCTTGCTGGTTAGATTTTCTCGAAAGAGCCTTCTACATGAAATGCAGTGGTCCCTGTGCAACTTTCTGGTTCTAACAGACTCCTTTGTGATGGTTACTATTGGGCAATCATGACTAGGAACCCTTCCTTCACTAAGTGCAGGTGTTATGCACCTTTGATAGGGTTGACATAACTGACCCGTTTGTTTCTGATAATACTCATATTTTTTTCACAGCATTCAGGTAAAAAAAAAAGTACATTTTTCTGAGATCACTTGAACCCAAGGGTTTGAGGCCAACCTAGGCAACACAGTGAGACCCTGCCTCAAAAAAAAAAAAAAAAGTCCGTCTTCCTGGTAGGATGTGTGTTTCATGATACAGTAGCTCCTGTCCACTCTCAAGGTTCTTGCTCCAGCTAACCTTAGACTCTCTATACTGGCCACACACCGAATCAATTTCGGTTTTCTGAATTAATCCCAATCCCCCCCGCATACATGTCCTACTGTGTAACAGCAGATGACATGTGTGTCGGCAGTCAGAGTAAGTCTTATTACTTTGGCTCTGGAATAACGTGGCAGCTTGCGAAGACGATGGCTGGCCTTCCCTGTTCAAGTCAGAGCTCCATGGAGAACTCCTGAGAAGCAGACAAGCTCCTAGCTTTGTATATAAGGGGGTTTTTCTATGTATTTAAAGGAAAGGCAGAAACTGAAAAGATTTCCAGATTTAAAATATGCATAACTAGAGTCTTAAAGCCTGCTCAAAGTTCATAAAAGGAATAGAAAGGAAGAAGGCAGACAGGAAGAAGGAAGGAAGGAAACCTACCTTAGATTTTGATAAAAGTCAAAGACATCTCAAAATGGAGATGGAAGGGCTGGGATGTAGCTCAGTGGTAGAGTGCTTTCCTAGCATGCTGGAGGCCCTGGGTTTCATCCTGGAATCCACCCCTCACCAGAAAACAAAAGCAAAGAGGAAGATAGGTGTAGGGATTCTGCACAAAGGCAGGGAGGAACCTCTATGAAACCTGCCCATTTATTCCCACTACAATCTCACCCTAATTCTGTATATTTAAAATATTATACTTTCCAGGTGGGTAGAAGTTTACATAGCTTTGACTGTTCGTTAAATTTACTAGGACTGGAGGTGTGGCTCAGTGGTAGAGTCCTTGCCTAGCATGCACAAGGCCCTGGGTTCTTTCCCCAGCTATAAAATATAGCAATATAAATTTACTCCATGTTCATATAATAGCTATTATATGCAAATCATTATGCTGGGAAATTCAGTATGCAAAAGTATGCATTCAGTAGCTTCAGCTCATGGTCTGATGAGTGAACAGAGTCATGTATTAATATAGCCATGTGCTGTATAAGGCTTCAGTCAACACTGGACTCTATATATGATGGTGAAGCCATAAAATTATAAAGACCTGAATAATTCCTATTGCCTAGCGATGTTGTAGCCATAGCAACATCACAGTGTAACACATTACTCGTATGTTTATGGTGCTGCTGGTGTAAAGAAACCTACTGTACTTTTATTTGTATAAAAATATAACACGAGTAATTATGTATAGTATGTATTATTTGATAATGATAATAAATAACTATACTATGGGTTTATAAATTTACTATACAATACCATCATTTTAGGGTGTACTCCAACTTATATAAAAATTTACTGTAAAAAGGTATAGTGTGTGATGCTGGCAGCAGCCTCATAGGGTGCTGGATGATGGGCAAGAGATGTTTATCACATCTCTCGATTGCATCATTTTCTCATGGCCCTAGAAATAGTAGGCTATATCACATAGCTCAGGTGTGTAGCAGACTCTACTATTTGGGAGTGTCTTCGGTTTGGAGGGTTTTTTATACTGGGCTTTGAGCTCAAGGGTTTGTGCATGCTAGGCAAGTGCTCTACCACTGAGCTACCAGTTCTCTTTTATTATAATTTT